AAACACCAGTTCAGCCCTTATGGGTTGTTTTGACCCAAGGCCAGCAGGAGGGTTAAACATGTATGTATTTTCCCAGTTTAACCTCAATAATCTGAAATATTCTTGTAAAATTATTACTTATAAAAAATAAAAGTGAGATTAAATACATCTAACTAAGATGAAAATCATTTTAAATGATAAAAGCTATGTCCAATATGTGTTTATACATTGTTTCATTGTTAAAACCATTCTTTTGCTGCTCGTTTACTGTTCAAAAGTAGTTTATAGATTTATTTGTAAAGATGTTTGCAGATTTGTACAACCAAACATGGCAATTACACATCTGCTGTGGTGTCCTTGTCAGAAGAGAGAAAAAAAACAAACAAACAGAAAAAAGAAACGTAATCGGCTTCATCTCTTTTTGTGTGCTGCTAAAAGAAAAAGATGTATATAGAGAAACAAATCTAATAGGTGAATTTATCCTGAGCGATGAATGTCTGCACATACCTTCATCACAACTGAGGAAATAATCAGAGAGATGTTTCATTCAGAAACAGAAATGTGGAGCTGAAGGGGACTTCGTTTATATTGATGAGTTCGTCTTTGGAGCTACAAGACAGAGACGGTCATTTATAAACTCATCCTACCAGACCTAGTGATGTTCAATACGACCGATATCCTCTCCAATTCTGATACCAAGTAAAACTCAATCCGATACTGAAAAACACCTAGTATGGTAAATCTAAAAAAGTAGTGAATTTCAAATCCCTACTTTATAAAAACATACAAGACATCAAAGTAATTTATTTCTTAATTCATTAATTTTAAACTCAGAAGAATATTGATGTAACGTCCTCATTTACACTACAGCTGAGCTAACACAACAGAGAAAACAAAGAGGACACAATCAAACAAAATATGACAATCGTCTTTTAAACAATACATGACCACATAAGTAACACAGACTGACTGAGCTGCGTGCCGCTGTGCATAGATGGAAGAAAAATTAGTTCCCTTCAAACACTTATGATTTAGTTTTATTACTTTTCATTGTGTTCCTGTAAATGTCATGACTACCTGAAATGACTGAAATATCAAAGTATTGATGTTTTGATTTTAGGAGTGATATTACAGCAAACATTTCTGGTATTGGTATCAATATTTCAGTGTTGTTCGGCACACCACTAACCAGAACTCTGATCTTGGCTCTGAGTGGTCAGAAGTGGTTAGGAAGTTTCTGCGTAGGTGAAAGTCTCATGGAAGCTGTTAGCGTTTATTTTTAGTGTCTTCCACCTGTTACAGTAACCCTCTGTGCATTGTAGTGTTTAAAAAAATGATTAAATGAACAAAAGGCTTTTTTTTTTACATTTCAACTCTGAAATGAGAAAACTTACATTCTCCCCAGTTATGCCTATAGATGTCAAATGTTCTTTCCTTTTCTTAATCAACCGTCTAACATCTGATAGTCTGAGTCACTTCAGGTTAAAACACGTAACGACCGGCGGGCAGGGTGGGATTTGATGGACTGTTAGACATTTTGACTTGTAGCTCCTCACTTTGCTTCGCTGCTATTAAGGCAATAATCCTGAAAACTTAATAACAGCGTCGCTGCGTTATGAGACAAGCAGTGGAGTAAAATTATCTTCCTTCTGGGTCATGAAAGGGGAGATTTTTTTAAAAAGAGCAGCAATAGTGGGGGTGGATTTAGAGTGGATTACGTGTGGGTGGAGGCAAAGGATGGAGGTAGGGCCATGAAGCCCCAGAGGAGTGTGTGTTTATGTGTGTGAGAGTGTTTAAGGTAAATCTGATTCTGTATGCTTGCTCCTTCAGCTTCTGAAACAATGTGGAGGCATATTTTTAGAACACTTGGCTATAATTTTTTTTAATTCACATTGTTTCTGCTCAGAACGCTTCAGATTTTAAGAGGAATTCCAACATTCATATAAAACATAATCGCTGAATATAAACGCATTACTGAGCCGACATTTCTGGACCATTATAGAAAATTACATCAATTAAAACATCCTCTAACCAGCTGCAGATAAACAATAATTAAAACTGAACTGAAATAAAGGCCTTTAAATAATGCATATCGTCCACCGAAAATACAAATGAGCAAAAACATTTCTCTTTACAGCAGCAGGTGATAAAAATGCAGCAACTATGAAAATTTATCATCGCACCTTAGGATTTAGATTATTCGCAATCATTTGTGTGTTTTTATCACATTTTTCATAAAGTCCTTGTTTGAAAAAAAATCAAATATTTGCAGAAATGTTTTTTTATGTGTTAGATTACATTACACCTCTCAGAAACGCGTGGAGTGAAAAAAGCAACTCTTCCTGTAGTAGATTAGCTTATTTGAAGCATTAAACAACATGTGAACGACACAAAATATACCTGAGACACCCCCAGGCATCAGTTATAGAATGAGGCCTGCTGCGGGTGACGTCTTCATCGCAAACAATTAGAAAAAAAATGAATTTCTACAACAACCTGACGTCCGATGATCGTCTCAGGAGGCAGTCTTCAGAGAAAAAAAAGAAAAAAAGAAAAACTCATAAGAGACAGCTGATGTTTAGAAACAGATTGCTTTGGGACTGGTGTGAAATATTGTATCCAGGTGTCTTCTAAATCATCTTTAGTGTCGCATAACATGACATGTCGAGACAGGAAAAACCAGGTTAGAGTCGTTTTTACGATCGCTGACCAACTGAACGCGAGACCTCACGCAACAGCAAACTGTTCCTCGCTGATGATGAAGCTGTAGGCAGACGCATCACAGTAAGAACACAAACTAGAGAAGCTCGTCGCAGGAGGAAAAAGTATCCTAAAACGTGCAGGTAATCTCATTAAAGGGTGTATTTTCACTCGAGCCATGACATTTCTTTCAAAATGTACCCGGCGACTTAGAAGAAGCATTAAATGCGGAGTCTGATCACATGTCATTCCCTGCAGGCTGGTGTCATGAAATAGCATCATTATGTCGCATCAAATCCTTTAATTTGTTATTTTCTCCTTTCATATATATAGAAAATCACTGCCTTCATGTGAAGCTCTGAATGAATTTCAACAAAACTCTCAGAAACTCTCATTGAATCGTCGATTAAATTGACAGAAAAAGTGCGAGGCTTCCTGTGATGAAGGCGTGACGTGCTATTTCCAAACATGAGAGCTGATTTATTCTGTGAGATTTCTCAGGTTCACAGTTTGCCTTCGTGTCAGAGGGCCTCTCACCTCCTGCCGACAACAATCTGTGGCAGCCGTGACACAAACAAACAGATCCAAAAAAAATTAATAAATGAAAATATGCATCCAGCATAATGAGCCACGCATTTAAAAGGTGCTCGGCTAATTGTGTCAGAAAACCGGGATGTTTTTAAATCATTTAAATTGTTAATTAAACAAATGGGGCCACTTCATAAGTGATGTTTTTTCCATGCACTTAGTTGCTTTTAGTGTTCATAAATTGGTTTATTTATTCGACACTAACACAAACTTGGTTATTTCTTAATTTTTTTGTAAAAGTTTCTTTATTTGAGTCCCTTTTTAAGAAAAACATCCCAGTTTGAACAGGTTTAGTTTTCCTCCATTTTCTTCTGTTTTGTAACAACAGTTTTTTAAATGTTTTTATGAACGTACCCCACTGATTAATCTATAAAATAAAAGGTTTTCGTTACAAAGACAGCAAGACCAGGTTTTAGTTAAACTTTAGGAAATTCCCACATTTTTGATGACTTTGATTTTTCCTCACAGTGTTAAAGTTTTGGCACCAAGGACATCATTATTAGCTGATCATTGAAATCGCACCTAGATAAATTGATAATTAGACAAAATTTTCAGACTAAGATCATCTTATGTTAGGAAACGATAGAGTTCTGTGGTTTTTCTAAACATCATGTTCACCTGTGTTTCCCAGCAGGCACTGCTCCAGGACTATAGAATGACTGGGAAGACCCTGACCAGCAACGTGACCAACAAGAATGACCCGCGCTCCCTCAACTCCAGGGTCTTCATCGGGAACCTTAACACAGCTGTGGTCACCAAGACCGACATCGAGGCCATCTTTGCCAAATACGGGAAGATCGTGGGCTGCTCGGTGCACAAAGGCTACGCCTTCGTCCAGTACGCCAGCGAGAGGAACGCTCGGGCCGCCGTGTCCGGGGAGAACTCCAGAGTCATCGCTGGACAGTCTCTGGGTAAGAAACCGGAGAGACGGCTTTTTCTGCAACACTGTTGAGGGTGACTTTGATGTTTGAAACTTGTTTTTTAAACTAAAATAACCAGAACTTGGTAGATTAAAATTAAAGTAATAAAATGTTGGTTTAAAGCTTTAATTATGTTTAAATGTACTGTTTTAACCATCTCCATCAAGTCTTTTATTTGTCAAGTGTATTTTTTGTTCTGTTTTTTTGTGTTTATTTCCATCTTGTTATCAATTTGTATCACTCATGCATCCTCCAGTATCTCACAAATTAGTTGCTAAAATGACGAATTAAGGCAGTAGTTGCACATCAACACAGAGGTACTAAAAGCAAAAACAAAAATTTTGATCACATCTGATTTTTTTTTCTTTCTGTGGTACTTGAACCAAACAAAGAGATTGGAAAAAAAACACAGAACATTTTTCCTTCTTTCTAATTGTTCAGTTTATTTAATGAATTTACAGGCTAATATAAGAAAACTTGAGTAACTGACTTATATCCTTTTAAAGTTAGCTGTGATTTGTTTTGATTAGCATTTAGAATTTGGTAAAAAAATGTTTTCGGCTACTTCTACTCTAATCTTCAGCTTTGTATGTAAAAAATGGCAGAATAATAGGTTGTGATTAGCATTTGACATGGTTTTTGGATCAATCTATGATAACAAAATTTCAGCTCAGTGTTTTTTTAAAACTGCTGAATTGAAGCCATTTAGTATTATCTCTAGCAAACATTTTGAATTTTCAGATCCAGAGGACTTTTCTTTATTTGTATGTGCCCCCCTAAAAACCACCTTGGCCACCCCTGTGCCATCCCTCGCAAAAAATTATCTCCGCCCCTGAAGATAAGCATCATTAACTGAGACCAGTACCTAAAACGCAATATAATTTCAGAAATCTCAATAAAACAGCTTTAAAAATGGGAGATTTCATCCAGATTCAGTCAGACCTTCACCTTTGATGTTTGATTCTTCTGGAACCTGAAAGCTTTACAAAGACTCAGTTTCTCTTTATATCGTCTTCTTTCTGCGACACATCTGTCTGCAGTCTTAAACTTGGTCTGGTTATCACCGGAAATGATTTAATCAATGCAGCTTCATTTGTTGTGAAAGTCAAATAAAGAAAGGATTAAACGGGTCACAAAACTCAGGAGATGAGGAGACGGATGGAGAGGCGACAGCCGGTCAACAACGGAGGTAAAACTCAGAGCCGTATATAAACCGGAGGGGGATTTAGAAGTTTGTTATAAATTTGATAGATCCCAGTAAATCTTCCTCTTATTGCTTATTGATTTGTTCAGAGCCTTCCTCATGGAAAATAAAAAAAATTCTCTCCAATCCCGGCTCCATCTTTAAAAATGAATGAGAGCTCTGCGGGGTCACGTCTGTGGTTCCACTTTGAATTTGCCCAGTTTCATGCGTTTATGTCCATGAAATTACACACGGCCGAGGTAGAACTGCAAAGAGCAGTTGTGTTTAAAGATTATAAATAATTACGTGCCTCAGAAAGTGTGAGTGTTTACCTGGAAAATTTCATGACTGGAAAATGAAGTGAAATTCAGGAAGCAGAAGTCTTCATCTGGGCTAAGCTAAAGGCTAGTCAAACAAGTTCCTGTTTTAAAATTGTTTAAGAGGTTTAATATTAACCAATGAGGCTTTCTTTCATACGCCGTATTTGTGAAAGAGTTGTTTATAATTGTTGTTGCAAAAAGTGTTTTTATTTGCACCCGCTAATTGGCAATTTTAATGAAGTATTTATTTAGATAATTGCAGCATTATAATACATACATAACTATGAAAATAAAACATTCCCTTTAATATTGTACAATGTTCTTTTCAACAGTCTGAAGCTGCAGCCAGGAAGTGATTCACTTAGCATAAATAATAAGAGCAGCTAGTACGTTCAGAAAAAGGGAGTTTAAAAAATGTCTGCTGCTGCTGCTCCTAAAGCCACTAATGAAATGTTGTGTCTGGGTTTTTATTTCTTTTATAAACGTCAGCTGCGGGGTTAATGCGGGCAAACTGCTGTAGCTACAGGAAGTCTTTTTTTTTCACAGCACAGAGCAAACTGAAGCTGCCTGTTTTAACACTGTGTTAATTAAACTTCAGAGTTTTACATCAATAGATCCTGGATGACTGTAATTTCTGTGCTTCACATAAATAATCATGCCATTATTCGCTTAAATTCATGTTTATTTTGAATCTCTTAAAAGAGGTTTTCTTATTTTGCGACTTTCAGAAGCAGCAAATTTTCAAAATAAACTAGAACCTTGTTTCTGGCCTAGTTTAGTATAAACATTGGAAAAACGTTATGAAAAGTTAAGTTAAATGATAGCTAGTTTAGTCCTATGTTTATAGTGTATGGATCATAGAGTTAAATAACACCTGAGCCCACCTACCCCATCCATCTGTGACATGAAAATTACAACCAAACAGGGCGATGACTCACAGCCGACAAAACAACTATTTAATTAACAGCAAGCCCAACTGGATCTGTGTCACAATGTTTTTGTAATATTTTTAAATAAATTAATGTAATTGTTCATTATGTTAATTTCATTCAACGATCATGTAAAACAGATTATATAAAGAAATAAATGAATAAATAATAAGGAAGTAACGATGATTTAAACCTGAGTTGAAGTCACTCAATAACATTATTATGACTTTATTATGAATAATGATGAGTTCAGCTAATAATATAGATTTTTTACTATTTCTTACCTATCATAAATAACAATAAAAATATTTACCAGTTGACAGAATTCTAAAAAAAGTCAAATATATTATTTTACACTATGCAAATATTACATAAATCTGAAGCAAAACCAGCTTATAATATTTAATTATTTGTGCTAAATTGTAGCATGATTCACCTGCATGCTACACTCTGTATAGCAATATATAAAAGCTAATATCTGCTACCTAATTCAGTAATAACAGTGATTACATCAGCTTTATGAGCTTATTTTAATTTTAAACTGTTACATTATTAGCTTAAGTTCTGATCAGATCATATCCACACTGAGGTAAATGAAATAAAATCTGCTTATTTGTGAAATGTGACACTTTTTCCTGTTTCTCTTCTGTTGATGCATCCGTAACACACAGGTTTTAGATTTACATTAGATACATTCTGATATATTAATAATATTTTTGTTAATATTGTCATTAACAGTTTTTTTTACTACAGTTTTTAAATAATCAGCCCATATTGTTGTCAAATGTCTGTGTGCTCCAGGGCAGCTGTGGCTTCAATGTAGCTCACCACCATCAGTGTGTGAATGTGTGAATGGTTAATGCTTGAAAGCACTGTACATGGCTAATACTTTATTATTATTATTATTATTATTATTATTATTATTATTATTATTATTATTATTATTATTATTATTAGTCTGTTGTTTGCTATTTTGCTATGGTACAGTAGGCTAATGCTAAATTCACACACTTGCTTAGCATGTGTGTTAGCCACGTTCTGATTAGCACTGCTGCTTCTACAGTAGATCACACAATCATGTAGTCAAGACTCACTCCTGCTGTTCTTTATACCTCTATCTATGGTAAAAATATATTTGTTGTAGACAATACTTTGCTTCATTTTATTACAAATGTTTCAGCTGAGGGTTAGTGTCCAAAAAGTGAAGAGTCAACAGGATCGCAGCTAGAAACAGCTTTTTCCCCTTTTTCTTTTGGCATGCTTAATTAGCAATAAGACTAATGATTCTCAGATACAAACAAACAAAAAGCTGTGTTTCTGTGTGTCTCGTAAATAGCCCCGCCAGTGTCAGCAAAAATTCACATGTTCAATTTGCATCCACTTAAAGAGGCTCTCCTCATTGTTATGCATGCTGACAAATCATGTGTTTCCAGAGAAACAGCAACAGTCACACGGCTGCCTCTGCTCGCACAAAAGTGAAGTCAAAGTGTCCAGTCAGAGGATCCTGTTGGGTGAGACGTGTCCTCTTATAACCAGAAATCATATTTCCCAGAGTGGCACGCTGCAGCTCTACTGCATCCTTGTAAACACACATTTACGAACACACGTGCGCACACACATGCAATAAATCCTGTATATTACCAATGCACCAGAAGTGCCGGAGCACACGTGCTCACAGTAACGTGTCCCTCCGCTCTGGAAATCATCTCCTGTGCCTTTATTCTGCTGCCTCTGTGAAATTGTGCCCTCAACACCTTATCTTTTAAACATGAACTTGATATTTGATTAGGCTCCAGCAGTGTGTGCAACCTGCACCAGATAAGATTTGGTGATATTTTCCTCAGGACTTTTAAATTACTCTCAGCGAGAAGTGACAACGGCGGACGGGTTGTGCGATGACACGAAGGTCAGACTTCAACCTTTGACGTCCTGAACAAACTTGGCCCGTTAAACTTACCCCAACTCCACACGCTCGAGCGGATTTAATAAGCGGTGGGAGCTCAGTGAACTGCCTTTACTCACTTTAATGTCTTTGGACATGACCGGCTTTTTCCCACGCGATGATTTTAAGTAGATGAAGCACATGAAGAAGTAACATCGGGTCCAACTGATGGTGGCTGTCATCAGGCTGCAGCTGCTTAACTCATGATGAAGATGCCTGCTGGTGATGAAGAGCACAGAGGAGGGTTCGTTTTCATTCCAACAGCTCAGCATTCTCCTAATTTCTGCCTCCGCTGCTACAATCTGGGCAGAGACATATCGATGTATCAGCTCTCATTTTTTATAATTGAGCGTCGTGATCATATCTGTTTTGGGTCACAGAGACTGTGGGCGATGGGGCTCTGGTAATGTTTGAGTGCCTCTCTGTGGTTAAAATACCTACTGCATTTCATTTTTAGTGAACCCAAGGGTTTGGAAATATGGATGGATACAAGTATTAAACAAAAAATAAATAAACATGAAAGAATAGAAGAATTGTTTTGGCTTTTAGAGGAGGTAAGTGGGGATGGGAAAAACAAAACCACCAAGACATGGTAAAAGAAAAAGAATAAAAAATGA